GCCTCCATACAGTTTTCCAGAGTGGCTGCACCAGCTTGCATTCCCACCAACAGTGTAGGAGGGTTCCCCTTTTTCCGCATCCCCTTTCCTTTTTTTTTTTAATAGCCATTTTAATAGGAGTGAAAGTGGTATCTCGTTGTGGTTTTGATTTACATTTCCCTAGTAACTAGTGTTGTTGCACATCTTTTCATACATACCTGTTAGCCTTTTGTGTGTCGTCTTTGGAGAAATGTCTGTTTAAATCCTATGCCCATTTTTAAATTGGATTGTTTTTGTGGGTTTTTTTGTTGTTGCTGTTGAGTCAGAGATTTTTTGTGTTTTTGTTTTTGTATATTCCGGATATCAGTCTCTTATCAAATACATGATTTGCACATATTTTCTCCCATTCTGTTGGGTTGACTTTTCACTCTGTGATAGTATCCTTTGATGTGCAGAAGCTTTTAATTTTGGGAAAACCCAACTTACAGATTTTTTCTTTTAATGTCTTTGTTTTTGGTGTCATATCCAGGAACTCATTGCCAAATCCAAGGTCATAAAGCCTTCCCCTGTGTTTTTTTTCTGAGTTTTATGTCTGTCTGTATCTGTACCTCCTCTTTGTCACTTTGTGTCTGTTTCCATTTTTCTATATGTTTATAAATTATTGAAGCTTTTGTATATGTTCTCTCTTCTTGCCTTGTTCCTTTCTTTGTTGTTGATCTCTTCGAAGGTATTGCAGATATCATGAGATTCCATGTATCTCCTAAAAATAATGGCATTTTCCCCAAATAACTATAACCCCATGATTGGTACTGCCTTTAGAACTGGGCAGCTGGGGCCCCTCCTCTGTGCTTGGTACTTTGGAGTGACTTTCTTGCATTTTTCTAAGTCTCTCCACTCCTCCCTTCTCCCTACCCCAGTGCCTGAAAGGCAGGGCTCCTCGAGTGCTTCTGTTTTAGGAATCTCATATTGAGAATTATAGTACATTTTCTAATTATATTGAAAATAGAAGCTTAACTTTATTTTGTTGATTTTATTGTTTGCTGCTATATACCATATTTTCCTCCTAAATTGTTTTTCTCTTTATTTTTATATATTCCTTTAACTGGTTAGCGTGTATATATTTAGTGTTGTAGTTATTAATTACTTTTCTTCTGTCTCTCCAGCACTGAGCTGAAGCTTTTGGAAGAAGCAACCATTTCAGTCTGCAGGTCTTTAGGTAAGGGGCAAAATGAGCATATGTGTATATGTATGTGTGTGGCATTTATTTCAAAATTTGTTATAAATTTTGGTAGTGTAATATGAATTGAATTAATGAAGTGACATATTCTTGATGATAATATTTAATAATAATTACTTCTATTCATGGTGCTCAATGATGCCAGTAGAAGGGAACATTTAGTCAATAGGAATAAGACAACGTGCTTATTAGCTTACTTGCAGGAGTGGTAATGGACTCTGCTAAGCCATACTTTTTCAGCTTGTTCTTTTTTTTTTAATTGAAGAATAGTTGACATACAATGTTACGTTAGCTTCAGGTGTGCAACATAGTGATTTGATTTTGATTTGACATTTATATACATTACGAAATGCTCACCATGGTAAGTTTGTCCTCATACACAGATATTACAATATTATTGACTCTGTTTCCTGTGCTTTACTTTACAATCCCTGTGACTTACTTATTTTATAACTGGAAGTTTGTACCTCTTAATCCCCTTCACCTATTTCAGTTATTCCCCCCCACTGCCCCCAGCAACTACCACCTTGTTCTCTATATTTACAAGTCTATTTTGTTTGATTTTTTTTTCTTTTTCTTTGATTTCACATATAAGTGAAATCATACAGTATTGGTCTTGCTCAGACTTCTTTCACTTAGCACAGTACCCTCTGGGTCCATCCATGTTATTACAGATGGCAAGATTTCATTCTTGTTTATGGCAGAGTAATATTCCATTGTATATATATATACTACATCCTCTTCATCCATCCGTCAGTGGACACCTGGGCTGCTTCCATATCTTGGCTATTGGAGATGCTGCAATGAACCTGGGGGTGCAGATAGCTTTAGAAGTTAGTGTTTTCATTTTCTTCAGATAAATACCTGGAAATGGATTTGCTGGGTCATATGGTAGTTCTGTTTTTAATTTTTTTTTGAGGAACCTTCATACTGTTTTCCACAATAGCTACACCAGTTTACATTTCCTACCAATAGGGCACGAGGGTTCTCTTTTCTCCACATCCTGGCCAACACTTGTTAGTTCTTGTCTTTTTTATTTTAGCCATGCTGACAGATGTAAGGTGAAATCTCACTGTGATTTTGACTTACATTTCCCTGATGACTAGTGATGTTGAGCATCTTTTCTTGTCTGTTTGCCATGTGTATGTCTTCTTTGGAAAAATGTCTGTTTGGGTCTTCAGCCTCTTTTTTAATCAGATGTGGTTTTTTTGGTGTTGAGTTCTTTACATATTTCTTCACATATGAATTCTTTACATATTTTGAATATTAACTTTTTTTCTAAATGATTTTATTTTTAAGTATCTCTATACCCAGCACGGGGCTTGAGCTTATAACACTGAGATCAAGAGTCACATCCTCCACTGACCGAGCCACACCCAATAAGAATATTAACTTCTTTTTGGATATATCATTTGCAAATATCTTCTGCCATTCACTAGGTTGCCTTTTCATTTTGTTCATGGTTTCCTTCACTGTGCAGAAGCTTTTTAGTTTTATGTAGTCCCACTTGTTTATATTTTACTTTTGTTGCCCTTGCCTGAGGAGACAGATCCAAAAAAATATTGCTAAGACTGAACTCCAAATCTACTGCCTATGTGTTCTTTTAGGAGTTTTATGGTTTCAGGTTGTACTTAGGTTTTTAATCCATTTCGAACTTATTTTTGTATATGGTTACCTGAGAGGACCCTTATTTTTTTTTCTTCTTTGTTCATGTTCCTCATTATACTTTTTTCTTTATGATTTTGCCTGTAATTTGATGAGTTTTTTTTTCATTGGTTTATTAAGGTCTTTTTCAGTTCTGAAGTTTTCTATAGTAATAGCTTTGATTTTACTTGTGTTTGAGTTTCTTCTCCCCCAACTTAGGATCACCTGTTAACATTCAGGTTGGATCTCTGTTCTTTGCTTTCTGTATCTTCTTTTTCTTTGTCATCTTTCGTTTCTTAAATTTCCTCCTTTATGTCTTTGATTCAGTATTTTATACGTAACAGTTCTGTCAAGATTCTAGTGCATCTTTTAGTTATTTCATTTTTTGGTTTGTTTTTAATCATTCTTTGTTTTGCAGGATGTCAGACTGCTCTCTTTTCATTATACTCATTTTTCCCAGTGGCTTTCTGGTTTTTTTCTTTTTTAAATAGATGATTTTCTCATCTTCCACTGATGATACTTTTTTTTTTAAAGATTTTATTTATTTATTAGAGAATGAGAGACAGAGAGCATGAGAGGGAGTAGGGTCAGAGGGAGAAGCAGACTCCCTGCTAAGCAGGGAGCCCGATGAGGGACTCCATCCCGGGACCCTGAGATCATGACCTGAGCCGAAGGCAGTCACTTAACCAACTGAGCCACCCCCAGGCGCCCTCCACTGATGATACTTGTTACTAAATTCATTTGACAGATTTTTTAAAATACTTTATTTTTAAATTTTTTTATTTTTAAAGATTTTATTTATTTATTAGAGAATGAGAGACAGAGAGCATGAGAGGGAGTAGGGTCAGAGGGAGAAGCAGACTCCCTGCTAAGCAGGGAGCCCGATGAGGGACTCCATCCCGGGACCCTGAGATCATGACCTGAGCCGAAGGCAGTCACTTAACCAACTGAGCCACCCCCCAGGCGCCCTCCACTGATGATACTTGTTACTAAATTCATTTGACAGATTTTTTAAAATACTTTATTTTTAAATTTTTTTTTTTTTAAAGATTTTATTTATTTATTTGACAGAGAGAGACACAGCGAGAGAGGGAACGCAAGCAGGGGGAGTGGGAGAGGGAGAAGCAGGCTTCCTGTGGAGCAGGGAGCCCGATGCGGGGCTCGATCCCAGGACCCTGGGATCATGACCTGAGCCGAAGGCAGATGCTTAACGCCTGAGCCACCCAGGCGCCCCCCCCCCCATTTGATAGTATTTATTTATTTGACAGAGAGAGACACAGCGAGAGAGGGAACACGACAGGGGGAGTGGGAGAGGGAGAAGCAGGCTTCCCGCGGAGCAGGGAGCCCGATGCGGGGCTCGATCCCAGGACCCTGGGATCATGACCTGAGCCGAAGGCAGATGCTTAACGCCTGAGCCACCCAGGCGCCCCCCCCCCCATTTGATAGTTTTGATTCAGCTCTTTGGCTGAAATTTTAGCATATCCTATTTCTTACCCCAGTGTTACTATTACTGTTTTTTCTTATTCATTAAACCAGCAAATATTTATTGAGCACCTGCTATATTATAGCCTCTTTCCTATACCTGTGCTATATATTCCATAATGTAGTCTATATTCTGGCAAACAAGACTGACTTGGATTCCTGACCTCATGGATCTGAGTAGGGGAGTCAGATCATAAATATACCTACTTTCATGTAATATGTCTCTTCAGAAAAATAAAGCAGAGTAAAGGTGCAGGGAGTACCCATGTAGGCACAGTGTTTGCTGTCAGAGAGGGTGCGCTTCTTAACCTTGCCCCTCATGTGGCTCCTGTAGGTGCTTGTTGAATCTGCTGTTAATTTTATCCTGAAGGCAGGATGATGCTATTTTCCAACCTAATTTCTAGAATTCAAGATTTTATTTTGTATAGGTTTTGCTTGGTTTAAGTGGGACTTTCCTTTACGCTTACTCCTTGGCTTTGGAGTGTGAGGGAATTATAAAATTCCTGTTGAACATCTGGATCAGCATTTTTTCTCCCTGAACAACATGTTGCTGAACAACAGCACATGTTGTTCTGTGTCTGGTGTGTTTATTTCTTCCCAGTTGTTTTCTGGGGGTTGTAGCCTCAGAGTTGGTGTAGAAAGTGACTTGGTAGGAGGTAAGTTTTCTGGTTGGAGTAGACAGTGAGTAGGGGGAGATTTTGTCCTCAGAGGTACTTTCAAGCAGTTACCCTTGCTAACCGTCCATTGACTACCAAATAAATACTTATGTCAGTTCTATAAACTCTGTAGTTAGTGAAAGTGTTCTCTGTTTTTAGGGGGAGGACTGTCTATCTGGAATTAGCATTTCTATGAACCTGTATCTGTTTGTATGTTTTCACGGGTGTTTGATTTTTAAAAGTTTCACACTTCTAGGGGCGCCTGGGTGGCTCAGTTGGTTAAGCGACTGCCTTCGGCTCAGGTCATGATCCTGGAGTCCCGGGATCGAGTTCCACATCAGGTTCCCTGCTCAGCAGGGAGTCTGCTTCTCCCTCTGACCCTCCTCCCTCTCATGCTCTCTGTCTCTCATTGTCTCTCTCGCAAATAAATAAAATCTTAAAAAAAAAAAAAAAAAGTTTCACACTTCTAGAAATGAGGGCCAAATAACATAGTAAAGGGGTGTAAGCTCATCTTCAAGTTTCACTCATTTTCACCTCATGGGCAGGCCTCATCTGTATCTCTCACCATTACATTCCACCGATAATACATGAAAGTATGAAATATGTAAAGGAAAGCTGACAACTGGAAAGGATATACAAAACAAACAATAGAAAGCAGAGTGTTCTCACACATTAGATACAGACCTCAGGAGTCGTATCATTTCACCCATAAATATTTTAGTATATATCTCATAAGAATTTTTTTAAAGGAGAGCAATACCGTTATCTCAATAGAAGACAATTTTTAGCATAGTAAAATAGCCACCAAGTGTTCAAATTTCTAATTGTCTTAGTTTTTGTGAATCAGGAACCATATAAAGTCTATATGTTATTATTGGTTATTATTGGTATGTCTTTATTATTCTTTTCATAACTAATTTCCTTCTGCAATTGTCTCTCTCTTCCTTTTCTCCTATTTATGGAAGAAAGTGGGTAGTAGAGTTTGCCACAATGTAAATTTTGTTGATTACATCCCCATGGATTGTTAACCTGTCTCTGTCCTTTATATTTTCTGTATATTTGGTATTGGATTTGGGGACACCAGGGGTATTTTAGTGAAATATTGGGAAAGGTTGTTTCAGGGGCTGGAAGCAAGTCCAATCTCTCACCCAGATGGAAATTCTCTTTATAATACCCTTATCTGAGTGTTATTCAGACCTTGCTTGAACTCCTGTAGAGATAGGGAAGTCCCTTCTTTACACAAAAGCTGCTTAAGTTAACACATTGTTACAAGTTCAAGTTTAGTGTCAAATGAGTTAGTTTTTTTTTTATTATATTTTATTTTTTTTTATTCTTATGTTAATCCCCATACATTACATCATTAGTTTTAGATGTAGTGTTCCATGATTCATTGTTTGTGCATAACACCCAGTGCTCCATGCAGAATGTGCCCTCCTCAATACCCACCACCAGGCTAACCCATCCTCACACCCCCCTCCCCTCTAGAACCCTCAGTTTGTTTTTCAGAGTCCATCGTCTCTCATGGTTAGTCTACCCCTCCGATTTCCCCCGCTTCATTCTTCCCCTCCCGCTACCTTCTTCTTCTTCTTTTTTTTTTTTCTTAACATATATTGCATTATTTGTTTCAGAGGTACAGATCTGAGATTCAACAGTCTTGCACAATTCACAGTGCTTACCAGAGCACATACCCTCCCCAGTGTCTATCACCCAGTCACCCCATCCCTCCCACCCCACCCCCCACTCCAGCAACCCTCAGTTTGTTTCCTACAATTAAGAATTCCAAATGAGTTAGTTTTTAATTTAAGTACCATTGTTATTTTAATTTAACAGTTGAGGACACTGAGGCGTGGGGAGGTGAAGTAAGTTGCTAGGTGTCACAGCTAGTTGGTGGAGCTGGGATTCGAACCTAGTCAGACTCTGTAGTCTAGTTCCATTATGCTTTTCTGCCTTTCTGTCAGCTATCCCATTCCTGCTCTGGCTTCTGAAGCTTATTCAACCTCAACATAACATTTGATTTTTTTTTTTTAAAGATTTATTTGTTTATTTGAGAGAGAGAAAGCGCGTGCCAGGGGTGGGAGGGACAGAGGGTGAGGGAGAGAATCCCAAGCAGACTCCCCGCCGAGGCCAGAACCTGACGTGGGGCTCAAACTCATGACCCCGAGATCATGACCTGAGCCGAAATCAAGACTTGGGTGCTCAACCGACTGAGGCACCCAGGTGCCCCATAACATTTGATTTTTACCAATTAACTTTGATCCTGTTAAATTCCATCAAGGTATTTTAGAATATCGAGTCTACCATTGGGTGGTGGTGTTTAAACATCAGGGAGCATACTTGTTTTATTAGTTTACTTTCCCCTCTACATCTTGTCTAAGAGTACTGTGAAAACTTAATTGTGTTAGAATGTCAGCTCCATTAAGACCCGGTGTTCTAAGTATCTTCTTAGTACCCGAAACATTGCTGGGTACGTCTAAATAGCTCAATAAATACATGCTGAATGAATGCACGAAAAAGGTGTATGAAGCTTTAATTACATCAATCAAGTAGCTGGTTACTGTTTCCAACAGCATGGGGTTGTTTTGTTTTGTTTTGGTTTTGGTTTTAAATAGTTAACCATTTATAAATTCAAACAATTACTTATAAAGTCATTCAGTAATAAAGGAGCTGTTGAATGAACACAAGGTTGTGAAGTTGGGATTCTGAATTATGTTTGTAGTCATATCATCCTCAACTCTTTGTTTCAGTATTTTGTTTTGATTTACAATAGCTCAATAATATTAATTCACACAGAGATGCACTGGCTAGCATTAAGTGTTTTTTATTAAACAGTTTATCCTGAAATCTCAGGATATTCTTTCATTGAACTCCAAAGCTTGAAAGAGAAGTAGGAAATTTTTGTTTCAAGATTTAATATCTAATTAGATATCTATTCTTGAGGATAAAAGCTGGACAAAATCTGCCCTAACTTCCAGCACACGCTGCACCTTCCTGCTCACAGCGGGGTTCTTCTCCATCTAGCAATAAGGGGCATCGCCTGGGAGAGACTGTTGCGGAATCTCAGTTTCCACTTGACACACGCAAGATCAGAATTTAAACTTTAATAAGACTGCCTTGTGATTTAAAGGCGCATTAAACTTTGGGAAGCACTGTTAACTTCAGTAGGCACAGGGTGGTGGACCTGGTATTCTGCACATCCAGCGTGATCCCAGATAATGCTCTTGCCACTGCTCTGTGAACCACACTCGAATAGCAAGGTGCTAGTGTTTCATCACAATGAGAAAGTTACACAGTAACTTGCATTGACTCAAGCTGTGACAAGAACACCTACCCAGCAGGTAGATCTGAGTTAACTTGACAGTTATTGAGCACAAAGCAGGTATGCTGTAATGGTGTACTTATTTCCATGCATGATTTTTTAAAGTATGTATGTACATACCAGGATTTTAAAATACTTAAAATGTAACTGAAGCTTGGTACATCTTTCCAAATCTTTGACACATTTTCAAGAAGTTCAAATATATGCATTGGGATGGCAGCAAAAGCATAAACCTCAGGTCTGCATAAACATGAATTTTTCTGGCAGCATAGGCCAGTGTGTTTGCATGTTTGCATTTCCATATTTCCAAACAGTTAAAAATATATTTCAAAAGAGAAAAATATTCAGAACTCTGGAATCTCACAGTTTGAAAACCTTTCTTAAAGCAAAAAGACTGGGCATTTGTCACTAACACTGTTGACTTTGGGCTCAACACTTAACCTTTCTGGGTCTCTTTTTCTTTTTAAAGATTTTATTTATTTATTAGAGAGAGAGAGAGTGTGTGTGCACACGCACACAAGAGCACGCACAGACAGAGGGGAGGGGCAGAGGCAGAGGGAGAAGTAGGCTCCCCGCTAAGTAGGGGGCTCAGTGCAAGGCCAGGACCCTAGGACCATGACCTGAGCCGAAGGCAGATGTTTAACTGACCAAGCCACCCAGGCGCCCTCTTTTTCTTCATTAGTAAAATTAAAGGTTCTGACTAAAGAGTCTCTCTCTTCTGATGAGTTTTTTCTTTAAGTTTTTATTTGAATTCCAATTAGTTAACATACAGTGTAATATTAGTTTCACATGTACAATACAATGATCCAGCAGTTCCATACAACCCCTGGTGCTCATCAAAACAAATGCACTCCTTAATATCCCATCACCTATTTCACCCCCCCACCCCCCCACGCCCCCCGCTAACCATCAGTTTGTTCTCCGTAGTTAAGAGTCTGTTTCTTGGTTTGCCTCTCTTTCTCTCTTTTTTTTTTCCTTTCCTTGTTTGTTTTGTTTCTTAGATTCCACATATGAGTGAAATCATATGGTACTTGTCTTTCTCTGACTTACTTCACTTAGCATAATACTCTAGCTCTGATGGGTTCTTAACTTTTGTCCTTATATGATGTATTAGGGTTATCCAGAGACCCAGTAAAGCTAATGGTGTAAATTCCAGTTCAAGTCCAAAGACCTGAGAACCATAAGAGCCAGTGTTGTAAGTCCCTGTCCAAGGGCAGAAGACCAATGTATTAGCTCAACAGTCAGGCAGAGAGAGAGGATTCAGACTTCCTCTGACTTTTGTTCTGTTCAGGCCTTTAATGTGTTGGATGATGCCCACCCACTATGAAAAGGCCAGTTTGCTTTACTCACTTGAAAATTAAAGTGCAGGAACACCTTCACACAACATCGAGAAATAATGTTTAATCAGGTATCTTGGCATCCTGTGGTCCAGTCAAGTTAATACATAAAATTAACCATCACATATGTCTTACTGTGCAGACTGATAGAACTTTATATTTTCATTAAGCCTAATTTCTTGATTATAGGGATTGGTATAGCTCAGCATTTTAGAGGCAAGAATTGGAACCAATAGATAAGGATGTGTCCTTGAGCAGTAACAACGTAGACCCGAGGATCTGTTCAGTGGAGGTGGTATTGGTGTTTATCTCCCATAGTTGGTTTTAAGGATTAAATGAGATGATGTGTATAAAGCACTTAGTGTATATTAGTCAGTGTCTGTTTCTTTTGCTGAGAAAAGTGAGGTTGGAGAAGAAAAGTAACTTGAGTTTTAATATTCTCTTAATTATAGACTTGACCTAGAAATCAGATCTTCTGATTCTCATGACAGTATCTGCTCAATTCTTGGCTGGATTTGCTGAAATGCCCACCTTTCAACTTAAAATTTTTTTAAACAAATTCTTTAAAATTTTTTCTGATCAAATAGCTTCTCCCTGGCCATATTGCCTTATGTTTCTGTTTATTTTTCGTTAGAATGATTTGTGATTATCTGAGCAGAGTTTTACCATTATAGTTTATTGTATTCTATATACTGGGGATCTTTTTTTTTTTTTTTACATTTTTTTTATTAACATATAATGTATTACTTGTTTCATGGGTACAGGTCTGTGATTCATCAGTCTTACACTGTTTTTTGTTTTTTAACATTTGCTTTTCTTTCTTTTTCTTTTTCTTTTTCTTTTCATTCCCCACGTTCTTGGAACCCAACATGGGGCTTGAACTCACGACCCTGAGATCAAGACCCGAGTTGAGATCAAGAGTCAAACGCTTAACTGACTGATCCACCCAGACGTCCCTAACATTTGCTTTTCTAAAGAGAAATATAAATGTGTATAAATTGAGTATATATCAACTCTTATCTCTTTTCTTAATAATTTTGAATTCTGAGATGAATTGGCTACTTTCTTCTAATGTGTTTGTCATTTTCAGTTTGCAGATCATTTTTTGTTCAGAATTAGGACCAAGCAGCAATTTCTCTCATTATTTATTTTCCTAATTAGATGTGAAAGTACAGTAAGGTTTGTCTGTGGAGCAACTTCAATTTGACAACTTGGTTTTACAGATGCTATAATATGTTCACTTTGATTTCAGTTTTTAATTTTAACTTTTTAAAACCTTATCTTCTCTTGCAGTTGTAAACAACCCTCGAACAGGAAACCTTGGTGCGCTAATTAAGGTCTTCCTTTCTAGAACCAAAGAACTAAAACTTTCGGCAGAATGTCAGAAGTAAGCTGGCTGATTAAATCATGTTCTCTTTATATTTAGAAATACGAATATTTTTCATTTTTTGGTAGAAATAGATTATGGTCTTTTGAAAGCTATAAAGGAATTCTCATTATTAAAAAATAAAAGAGAGGTTATAATTTACTGTCCAAGTCATTGTGGTGAGATTATGAATTCTGGAATCTGTTTGATTTCAGCATTTTAGACAGTTTTCAGAAATATATTTCTTAAGGTTAATGATGATGTAATTATTATTAAAAAAGGTAGTTCCCCCTCCATTATCACTGCTGCTCGTATCTAGTCTAAATAATGACTAAGTTTGAGGATTATTTCATTCCACATCTGTTTCCTTTCTACCTTTCCTAGTCAATGAAAGAAGGTTCAGATTAGATATTATAATTTTATTTTTATTTTAATTCCACTATAGGTAACGTAGGTATTATAATTTTATATTTGATACATTGGAAGGTTAATCTTTTATGCACTCAAGCATTTTAAAATCATTTTTGGATGGCATTGTTCATTGCTCTGCTTCCAAACAAATTATATCAAATCCAGTTAAAATTTTTCTTGAGTTCATGGTTACTAATACAAATAGCAAGTATTGTACTGGGCTGCTGACAGTGCCCTACTTAAAATTTTGGTTGTGTGCTTGCATATATTCTCTTTATGTTGGTATACTTTAAAACATTTTTTTTCACTTTTCTTTGAACTGCCTGTGTGTGGGACAAGTATGAAGTTAAGAACAAAGAGCATCCATGCCTAAGGAAAACATTTTTATTAGGCTGACTCACTAAGTAAAATACAGAGAATGAAACATGAAGTAGACTGGAATAGTGTAATAAATCACGAGCCGTGAAAAGATATAGTTACTGTCTTTATGTTATAAGCAGAATGGGCAAAATGCTTGAGAAATCATGAACTAGATAGTGCTCATGCTCTTGATTAAATATGGATTCTTGTGTGAGTTTGGTTTTTCCCTTGCAGCCACATCTTCATTTGGCAGACACACAATGCTTTGTTCATTATTTGCTGCCTGCTGAAAGCGTTCATCTGTGAGATGTCAGAAGAGGAACTGCAGCTTCATTTTACTTATGAAGAAAAGGCTCCTGGCAGTTACAGTAAGTATTGCCTTTGAAGATGTCCTAGGGATAGCTTGTGTGACACAGAAAGATAAAATTTGAGGAATAAAAGTAGGATTTTGAAAATTCTATTTTTCTTTCTATAATTTTCATTTCTAAATGACCTGGCCCTGTCACTCTTTTTTCTCCTATATTAATTTCAGTGAGCCAAGACTCTCAATTTTTTTTTCTTTTTATATAAGAAAGAAAGGAGGATTGAAACTTTTATTTACTTTTGACTTCCATGCATATGGAAGATAAAGTTAAAAACCAAAGTATACCTTTCAGAAAACAGAGATGTCAACTTCAGTATTATTACCAGGGTGATACATTAAGGGAGACAACCAATCAGAATTACACATTTCATAAATGTTAAAGATTACTTTCATAGGACAGAACAGTCTCTGGGTCTTTGGGGCTACTTGATCAGAAATAACATTTAAGGGCAGTTTTATGATGCTGAAATGTGTGGTCTTTTCCTGAAGACACAGGGAAAGGTTACCATTCTCTCATGATATTGCTGGAGTTTTGTGTTGTTTTTTTGCCAGTAGTTGGGAAGGTCTATAGTTTTTCAAGATGGTGTTTAGTTTTCTTAGCATTAAAACTTAACAACTGAGAGAGTAGAAGGGCAGATTGGGATTCTTAAATGAAATATGGGGAATATAGTATTTTTCATCTACTCTTCATGCTAACTTCTCTTTGAGAGCAAAGGCAGTGTTGCTCGTAAGATTCCTGGGTTCATTTTTCAAAACACATCTATGTCCTCTTTAGGCTTTTTGTCTACCTAGAGCTTTATATGTTGATTTTTGAGTTTTAGGAAATAAAGGTGTTTAATTTGCTATTGTGATAATCTATATTTGTTAAACATATACTGATGTTTAAACAGAGCTTTTAATCAGAGTTGTGTCTTGCAAGTATTAATTTTGTAAGGCTAGGACTTTCTTTTTGTGGTACTGAAACTGCCAAAACCAGCCCTGCTTGGGGAGTATCAGACCTTTCCACAAAGGTCTAGCAGCAAGAATGGAGTGCATGTTTACCCCATGGCACCTGAGAGCTGAGCCAACCAAGAACCTGCAAACCCAAAACTTTGTTTTGCTTTATGTCAAAACAATTATGCATGCACTGTACTTTAAAATAAATACAATAATATTGTGTTAATATAAAATTGTCATGCATACCATTGAGTAAGTTGATGCACTTCAGAGATACACTGAATTTATTTTGAGGCCCAGAAGGACCCTCTTTGTACCTACATTCTCCACTTTTTTTTTTTTTTTTAAAGATTTTATTTATTTATATGACAGAGAGACACAGCGAGAGAGGGAACACAAGCAGGGGGAGTGGGAGAGGGAGAAGCAGGCTTCCCGCAGAACAGGAAGCCGGATGTGGGGCTTGATCCCGGGAGTCCAGGATCATGACCTGAGCTGAAGGCAGACGCTTAACCTACTGAGCCACCCAGGTGCCCCTAGAAGCATGGTTTTGTTGTGCATCCTACATAACCTAAAGTGAGGGCAGTGTAAAAATGACACTTTTCCAGCCGTGGGCCACATTATCAAGATGCTTGTCTCACCAGAAGAGCCATCTGTGAAGTCTGATATTGGTAATTCTGTCTGTGCACTGACAGATTGTCCTCTTTTTTTTTATATGGAGTTAGCAATTCAGGATTTTATACACATTCTTTCGTTTTATTCTTTTCCTTTACAGTTGAGTCTACCGTTGATCCACCAGTTTTAAGTCCAGTAAATATCTTTTTAAGGTTAAACACTTCCTGTTTTTGGCATGTGTAATTATTTTCATTTTAGTCATATATGTTGTTTGAGATTTCTGCTGATCACTGGTGTAAGTCCTTTTACATTTTCTTTTAATACCTTTTTACAATTTTTAGAAGTAATGAAATTAAATGATTGCATAGATTCTGTTAAATGGTAAAAAAAAAAAAAAAAGGAAGCTCACTATGCAGTACCTAAAAACATCTGTTTTATCAGCTAGTATGTGAATCTCGGAATCAGGCGCGCAGGAGACCACGTGGGAGACTGCTCAGGGGTTGAGAGAATAGACAGTAGTGTGGGTTGTTCAGGTTGAATTGACAGAAGCAGAGGACCATCTACAAACAGCTGAGCAAAGTCAGCTGAGGAATTTGAGGACTTTTTTGGTTCCAATTCACTGTAATTCTGCTGTGATGAGATGGATGTTGCCAGCACATTCGGTGAAGCCTTCCTTATGAGGGTCATGTAACTCTCTGCGTAAGCGTCCCATTTGTAATAGAAATTTGTGAGGATGTCCTACATGAACATTTCCCCACAGGCTATGTATGGCATGGTAGTAGATTGTTCGCTAGAGGGAATTCGTATCATTTTGTAAATATAACTCTTTCCACTATTGCATTCCTTTGAGAATAGTCAAAGGGGACAAAGCTAGCCCTAGGCAAAACTATGAAGGACTATAAAATTGTGACTGTTTTCCCTTTGCCTTCAGTGTGAGTCTGGTCTTCTCTCTTGGTATCATCCCCCATTACCGCAAGGTAATAACTAATACTTATTTTACATTTTGTATCTCACAAATCCAATATTTTAAGTCCTTAGGGGTATGAATTTGTAATTTGTTTCCACAAACACTTATGTGGTTTGTTTCTTTATGTATTTGATGATGTTGATTGTGAGCTTTTGTTTGTTTGTCTTAATCTGAGGCCCCAAATAAAGGAAGTATTTGCATTTGCTTCTAGAAGGATCTAGACTGCATCACCTGAGGCCATTTAACCTCCTTTAGAGGTTCTTGGTTTAATGTGACCGCTCAGGTTCAGCTTCCCAGTGGCAAGCTGGTGGCACGGCTTTGTATTGCCAGCTTTGTATTGGCATTCATCATTAGGGTCACCCTACCCTTCAAGTTTGTTTACTGCTCAGTATTTTACTCTGGATTCAAGCCACAGTTTGTTCGCCTGTGGTTGCTCTTTTTGGTTATGGTGCAAGGGTCCCTGGAGATTTCCTCTACTTTCTGGAAGCCCATCAATGCACTAAAAAGTGTATTTTAGCCAAGAACTAGTTGTTTTGTACAAGAGGCCTCTTTGGAGTAACGACTCTACTAATATTGTCACCAGAGGAAGGCAATTATAGTTTCTTTACAAATATTTTTACAATTTTTTAAATGAGGGAAGTAGCCTTTGGAGATTGAGACTGAAGGTAGAGGCGCGCGCGTTTGCGCGTGCACACGCGCACACACACACACACACACAGGGGGAAAGAGTTGACCGGAAAGCCCAGGGAAGTGGGGGAGGCGCTAGGATCAAGAGCACAGAGCAGGAGTGTGGGTTTGCGTTGGAGGGGCAGACCACCTGTGCCCGCAGCGCTGTGGGTGGGCACGGAGGGCACGGAGGAGCTGGGTACACATGGCAGCCAGTTAGCGCGGCTCTGGGGAGAGTAGAAAAGAGACTGGAGACTTGTTGAGTTCAGGTGAAATGCTTGCTTAACCACATTTCCTCGGCATAAAATAGTTTAATAGAAATTTATTTAAAAAAATTTTATTTTGTAGGAATTGCTCTCAAGCATAGTGGATTGAACCCACATGCTTATCTTTGCTTTCTTCTGAAACCCCAATAAAATATCAGTAAAGGGACTTTTAAAAAGTCATGAATTTATTATTAAAGAGGAGGAAAGGGGAACACAGTGTTCATAACATTTTTCTTTTTTTTTTTTTGAA